AATAATTCAGGGCACGTGGAGGAATGTGGCCAGGGAGACTAAGTAGGGAGTGGCCTGTGAGTTTAAGAAAAAAACAATGCAAGCAAGGTTTCTGGGAATCCAAGTGAAGGAAGTATTTCAAGGAGATAAAGAGCAATTGAATCAAAAGCTGCTGATAAGTCAGAAGAGGACCAACCCTTTTGGCCATGTGGAGGCTACTGCCAACCTATGGAAGGGTAATTTTAGTAGTGGAATTGATGGTAGAGCCTAATTGGTATGGGTTCAAGAGTGACCCAAAGGATGAGTGGTGAGGGTGTATGTAGACTGTTCTTTTGAGGAGTCTTTTGCTTTAATGAGAGGAAGAGAAATAGGTAAATGAGATGGAAAGTAGAGCATACTAAGAGAGAGGTTTTTTTTTTTTTTTAAGATGGGAGCAATAATAGTATGTTTGCATGTTGACAAGAAAGATAAAGTGGAGAGGGAAAACGGATGATGTTGGAAATAACTGCTGGAGTATGGTTTTTAAGGTATGTAATTTAGACTCTAAAGATACTCACTAAATACAATGGAAGAGGACCAATTAAAGAAAGAGAACTGAGGTTTTACTACTGCTGCCAGATAATAAAATTACAGTAAGAGGAAAATTAAAATGTGTTAAGATGTAAAAAGGGAAATGCAGATTTATGGAATTTAAAGGGAAGTCTCTAAATTTATCTAAAAATTCTATATGAGAAAATAGTTCTAATTAAATATTTGGAGTAAATATTTTATATTTAGAAGTGAAAAAAAAATCACAAAATAAAAAATGAACAAGTTGAACTATAAACTGCATTAGAAGCATAAACTCTCTGGATAACTTAAAATAACTAAAGAGAAGTATTGTTAGATTTAGAAACACACTTGCATCAAACAGGACTTAAGGTTAATTTATTAGGTAAGGAGTTCAGACAAACAAGTAAATTATTAAGTAGGCAAGAGATTAATGGGTAAAGTAAATAGATTATTTGTATATGACATAATTAATAAATATTAGGGCAAATATTAATGCTAATAAGAAAAATACAAAAGAAAACAATGTTATATTCATTAGGAAAACATTAAAAAAAATTAAACCTTCCCAATCTGGCTACACCTGTGATAGAGACAGTACTCATACCTTGCTGGTGGTAGTGTAAAATATTAATTATTTTTTGGATAGCAATTTGGACATTGACATTAAAGGTCACAAAAATATTCATAACCTTTGATTCAGAAATACTCCTCTTGGATATTTATCCTAAGGAAACACTTTAAAAGTATATATAAATGATATCCAATTCAGTATTATAATTACATTATAGCATTACCTATGATAATGAGATACTAGAAATGATCTAAAAGGAAAATTAAAAGATCAAAGAATGGCTATGAAAATTATGAATAGTGGCCTGAGCAAATGGAAGATATAAAATAAGATTTCAGAGCAATGTAGGAGATGCTTATCATATAACAATAAATGGCAGTATAAAAATTACTTTTACTATACTGTTAATTACCACTATGTAACCTACACAGAAAGACAAAGAAAAATGTAAACTGAAAATAGTTTAAATGTTCAGTACACAGACTGTAGGTGAATATGTTCTTCCTTGTTCTGATAATAACTACTAACATTACTGAATACTTCCTATCTACCTGATGGAGGAGAATGAACATTATGTATATGAACACATTTAATCCAGTGGGGTAGGCAGCAGCCAATACTAAATGGGACAGCTGATATTTGAGTTCAGACAATTTGCGTTCAGTCCTGATCATAATGACCAGCTATGCTGTAGACACAAATTAGAAAAATGGGATTTCCCTCAACCTCTAAGAATCATGTTTTAGAAGGTTATGGGTCTCACATATTATATTACATGTAGTATCATTTGGTAGTCTCAGATTACTATCACTTAATAATTGCTAACTAACCTTTCAATTTTGCCTGTAAAAATAAAGCAAGCTAATTTTAAACAGACTGGAAAAAAAATGAAAATCCTTACAGCATCACAGAATGCTACAGCCGACAAAACAGTTTGGAGATTACCAGACCCTTCTACCTCTACAGAGTAAGAAACAGGGCTATAATCAGAACTGACTAAAGGTCATGCATCTGGTTAATACAACCAAAGCTAGTTCTAAATTCCAGGTTTCCAAGGATAATATTAATGATGATGACAGTCCAATGATATTTCTTGCTACACCATCTAACTTCTCTCCCTCATAAACACAAAAAACCTATCTATATACTAAGTTTAAGTGCATAACAACTGTCAGGCACATTTGGTGTGTTTTAGTTAAACTAAATATTGACAACAGTTTTAAGTAGTAAATATTATAATCATTTAAGACGATGAAACACAGATTTAGTATGTTGCCCGGGTCCATTAACTGGCATCCAGGGCTGATGACCAAGTCAGTGCTCCTAGCAAGGGTCTGCCGCTGGGCGAGGGAGAAAGCGCTCAGGCACTCAGGGAGCTCAGGTGAAAGAGGGTCCTTGTGTTCCTTGCTCATATCGCCCAAGGTCCATATGGAGAACTGTCTGATCTTTCTTCAGGCTCAGGACCAGCTGGCTGTTCCAGAGGATTAGAAACAATGTAGTAAATTCTGTTTGTGCGTGTGAAAAGGTTTCCAAGTTTGTATAAACCCTGGGGTTGATCCTTCATGTTCTTACTCTTATAGTGTGATCAAGGGAGTAGAAAACTGCAGTGCTTAGAGAAACTGAGAGGCAGAGGGACAAAATAGAATGCTGCTTATATTCCCTGGCAAGTGTGCTTTTTAATATGCTAATAGTTCAAGGGCTCAAGAGATAAACTTCCTGACACGTGATAAATACATTCTCATGACCTTTTCTCCCTCACTATTATCTCGCTTCCTTTGCCTTGCACTTTTAATTCTGTAAGTTCTAGCACTGCAGGCTTTAATCCTCTCTCCAGTTAGGGAACTCCTTCCCATCTTCAGAGTCTCACCATTCACAGCCATCTCGCCTAAGGCACGGTATCTTCTAAAGCAAATCCACGGCTGCCCCCGCCTGCCTTTCCACCTTTCTCTCCCCAGTGTCTAAGTCCTCCGTAACTAATCTGGGCTTTCCCTTCTCTGCTCTTTGGCTCACAGTGACCCGTTTATCTGGAATCCTCTCCTTTTTCATCTTCGGCTGTCTAAAGTCAGACCGTCTTTGAAGGCCCATCTCAAATGCAATCTCCCTTGCTTTTTCTGATTCTCCAGCCAGATACAATCCCTTCCTTGTCTAAACCCTATAGCTCTGCGTGTAACTCTTAGAAGACTTCACCCTGCACTGCATGTATCTGGTATTGCAATTGTCAGTTCCATTAAGATTGGTCATATATGATTACCCCTTGTGTTCTAGATAGCACATAGAAGACATTCATACTCATAGTTAATGATCAAAAACAAAAATCTGACTTTGATGAATGCAAATTAAATGAGTGCTTCACAATTCTCTGTCAGTTAAAGAACTGGTTAAAGGAACCCCGAGAATAAACAACATACAAACAAAACAACATGACAATGTCTTAATTGGATACTTGATTTTCCAGGCACTGACACAACAGTTGGCAGACATCTACTAGGTCAGGAAAGTTAAGTCTGTGTTCTGAAAACATAGACTTAAAAGAAGGCCCCAAAGGCAACCCCCCCCCCCAAAAAAAAACAAAACTAAACTAAGAAACAAAATCTTAAGACATCTGTGGTATTATTTCTTGATTTTTAGTTTTGTACAAATGAACATGGGACCCTCTGATAAAACTAAAAACTATACCGAGGAAGAAAAAAACTGCATTCAGACAATCAAATGACACATCTTGAATGCTATTGTAAATCAAGTTAAACAGGGCTACTAAGCGATTCATTCACTCTCAAAGAAAAAACAAAACAAACCCAAAACAAAACAAACCAAAACACCAAACAACAGAAAAATTAGCTAATTCTGATTGAGAAATAAATGAGCAATCTGGCAATGTTCTTTTTTCCACATTATAAAGTTAATCGGAGAAGCCTGCCACCTGAAAACATTTCAGAAAGGTACAGAGATAATACTCCTACAGAGATCATGATTAATGAATCCATGGGCCCCTGGCTGTATCTACGTCACTGTTGTTTACTTCGTGACTTTCGTGTTCCTGGTGGGGGTTAAATGAAGAAGGATTGGAGGAAAGCAGTTTAAATTGCAGTCCAATCTCTACAGAGTAAACCCCACAACTCAACTAATTTTTTTCTTATGGGCCTGTAACAGTGGTAAAAGCACAATGAAATGGATGGATAATCTGAACAAAGGCCACAGGCACCTGCAACCTCTCAATCCCTTTGCAAATATTTCCACCACGACAGGGCCAAATTCTGGGATCCGTTCGAGCAGGCGAGTGTCGCCATTCAATAATGAGCTCCTTTCTCGATAAGCTGTAAATCTCGGGGCAACTGAGGCCCTTCCTAGGGATCTGAGCTGGGAGCGGTCTCGGATTTTTAGACAAATCTCTCCTCCTACCACACGTGACCGAGAGGCAGTCAGCCGCCCTGGGAGACCCGCAACACACGATACAAAGGCTCGGCGCTGCCACGGCATCCTCAGGAGGATCGCCGAGCCTCCCGCGCTTAGTTTCTGCGGAGCTTGCGCAGGGCGCCGCCGCGAGGCGCGCCGCTCCCGGGCCCGCAGGGCGGTGCCGCGCAGCGCGAGGAGAGCGAGCAGGGAGCGCGCGCCGCCTGCCCTGCGCGCCTGCCCACCCAGCGCCGCGGGAGCAGGGCCGACGAGCCGCACGCAGTCCGGCCGCACCGCAGCAGCCGGGCCCTCGGCCGACGCAGGGAGCCCCGCAGCGACGTGGACTAGGGTGAGGAGGCCGAGGGCTCCCAGACCCCGGGCAGGCCCGAGGCCGGGCCAGCCCACTCCGCCCAGGCCCGGGCCTTCCCTTCCCCTCCCGGTCCCTGCCGCCACCCCCAGCCTCCCGGGCCTCGCGTGGGGGCGGAGGGGCGCCGTGAGCGGCACTTACACCACGGCTCTGGAGATGATCCAGGACACCATCTTCCCGGGGGCTTGGACCCTACGTCGGGGGCGGGTGGGTGCCGAGGGTGGCGGACCAGGCGGCCAACGGCAGGCCGCGCGCCCTCCGGCTCCTGGCACTCCCCGGGGCCGCGCTGGCGCCCTCGGGAGCCGGGCCCGGTGTCTGCGCTCGGCGGCCGGAGCTGCGCGGCGGTCGGTCCCCCCCACCCTTCCCCGCCCGCCGGCGGAGCCGCCGCGGAGCCAGCCAGCCCCGCCCCTACGCTCCGCTGATAGGCGGCGGCGGCGCGTTGGCCGAGGCCAAGCCTGGGCTGCCCGGCTCCGGGGGCTGGGCTGCCGGGACCCCTGCCCGCGCTGGACGGCCTTGCGGCCTGGATCCTTGGCTCTGACCTCCCTGTTCTGGCTCCTTTCGTCCGGAACGTCCACCAGGCGTAGAGGGGAGAGGGTGGTGAGAGGCCGAGGAAGGGGACTTGGGGGTTGTTAATATCTGTGTGAAAAACAAAATAGTAGTCGTGGAAACTGTGTCTGACAATCCTTTTGGACCAGGCCCTAGATTCTGGAGAGGAGAAATTTTGAGATGCGTTTAGCTACATCGGTGTTCTCACTGTTCACTGAGGCCCTGGACATCATCAAAGCACCGCATTTTCAGGCAGAGGTCGGAGAATCGTTGCACAGGCCTGTCGGGAGTCTCCTGGTTTGTGATGCAATGCGGGGAGGGGCAGAGGAGGAAAGCCTTGGATTTCAAGTTTGCAGTCGTGAGTGTGTAGATAGCACTGTTCTGGGCCTCTTACGACATCTTCCCATCACCACATCCGCAAAGCCTGTATTACAAACACACCTCTGACCTGCCAGATATTCAGAGTAAAAGTGGGTTTAGGATTCCTGACCTGACTTGCTATTTATAGCTGTCTGTTTTTGGGGAGGTTGGGTTACTGGTTGAACCTTGCAGGTCTCGCAGGTATCTTAATTTCAGGAGGCAGAATTTAAACTCTGATATTTTTGGTGGCAATACCTAATCGAGGAAGTGATCTTGACATTTAATCCGCATCTTTTTTTTTTTTTTTTGCTGTTAAGACGGTAATAAAAGATAATTCTAGTATTCAGATGGTACGAAGAATAAAGGATGAAACGTGGGCTTCAAGCCTTTAATTAAAAGTTCTAGGAAATATAATAGTTTATTTTGTGACCATACTGTAATTTATTCTGTTTGTTCCTCGGTTTCCCTGTAGTAAAAAGATTTTGGTCAGTAATACTGCAGTTTACCTCTTGTCTTCCAGGGTTGACATGAAGTACGCTAAATATATTTTATAAAATTCTGCCACTTGTTTGAGAGAAAATAAAAAAGGAATAGGAGATTATCTTGAGTTCTTTTAAGGTCCCAGGTTCAGTACATTAGTAATGTTTTTGTTATGCAAGGAATGAAATTGGAAACTCCTTTTTACTCTTGGGTAGGCTTTTTACTCTTGGGTCGCAAAGAATTGGACATGACTGCGTGACTGAACTGAACTGAGGCTCTTTTTGCTTATTTATGCATTTTAAGAACATATATATTAATTTCAGGGATCTCATTAATGAAAATTTGCATTTGTCTGGAATCACTTTTGGCCATTATTCAGCATTATTTGAAAATCAGGTGTGCCACATAAACACCAGTTTTCTAAAAAGTTCTCTTGCCCAATAAAACTCAAAGTATTTGAATGGCATTCAGATTCCTCCATGAACTGATCCTGAAATGTTTTTACAGCGTTAATTTTTCCTGCCCTTCCAGTCTCTAATGTATTTTTTCCCTTACCTTTCTTCTCTGAACCAAGCTATATTTTCATGCTCCGTGCCTATGCCTGAACTTCATTTTTTCTTTAATAATTTGTGTCCTGTTCTCTACCTGTCAAGAGTCTTTCAGTGTCCTATGCCTTGAAGATGTTCTGATTTTCATAGTTACTCATTTTCTCCAGGCCCCCATAATCAATTACTTGAATTTCTATTTAATGCCTGTCATTCTGCTTTATATTGTAGTTATGTTTTACCTAGGTCTGACCTACTGAATGGTAAAATGTTTAAGGACAGGTATGGTATATTAGTTATTTGTGTTTTCCTATTGTCTAGGATAGAGTAATTGTCCAGTAAAAGTTCAAATAATGTTTTTTAAAACTTTTACAACTCAGAGCCCAGGTAGTGTTTCTTCCTGTTTAGTACACTGGAAACTGAGGTTTAGGGAACTCACTGCCAATGACCACATAACTTAGAGGTGATAGAACTGGAACTCGAAAGCATGTTTCCCAAGTGTTCTTTACATTATACTGTGATAGTCGGATTGTGTTTAAGGCAGTGGGTCCAGATGGAGGTTCCCTCTAGGGGGAGGTTGGGAGGTGTTTTTTGGGGGTTGTTGGAATGATTGAGGCTAACCACTAGCATTTGATGGGTGAGATCCAGGGATGCTATATACTCTTTGTAGGTGCACAGGCTGTCCTGAACAAAGAATGTTCCCATGTTTTGCAAGGTTTAAGAACACACTGCCTGGCATTTGTGTAATATTTGTACTTATCTGAACCTAGAACCCCTGTTTTATGTATAAAGCATGGTTTTAACCGCTACTGAATTTTCCAGTGTCTATTTCTATATGCAACTTGTGAAAGAAAGATTTGTTTTCTTCACAGTTTGATCAGGAGTTGTTTACAGTTTCGGAAAATTGTGTCACAAAGTACTTTGCATTCATAGCTGTCATGGTTAGCTGGTAATTACTCTTGTATGTTTTCTAGTTCAGTTTTGTTTCAAGATTAACATGCTGAAATACATACCTTATTTTAAATGATTTTTATTTCACTTTTCCATCTATATTTTATTTAGGATAGATACATGGGGTTGTTTGAAGTCTGTAGGGAGATTGTTTTTAATTTCATTTCTGGGTGATAAAGCAGAAGCTGGCAAATATTTTATGAAAGGGGAACATCAAGCCTGATTTGGTTGAGAATTCTTAAGTCTAAACAGACTGTAATTTCATCTGAGGAGTTGCCTTACGTGAGAAGAACCCAGATTTTGGTAGTGGGTGTCCTGGGCTGTGCCTTGATAGTTGAGATCTGGTAGTAGATGGCCATTAGATTAGTGCTTCATCGTGTAAGGCAAGGCTCGGAGACATGGGAGAAAAGGAAATACATGACCTGCTGCCTTTTAAAGGGTGGTCTCTTTTGGCATACTTGAGACCATTTCTTGTTTAGAAGATGGAAAATTGTTTCTTTAAATGCTAAACTTAGTTGCTTTTGAAAAAGCATATTGCTGATATTCATTTGAGTGGTTCCTTCACTGTGTTCTGCAAAGACTCTTTTCTTTGGGTGTTGTGTTTAATCATGGTGGGATGCAGTATATTTAGGGCAAAGGACATTCTATCAGTAAACCTATTTCTAATTGCCATTCATGTGATGTTTGGCAAGTGTATCTATGTTTCCTGTTAAATGAGGATGATAATATTATGATAATCAAATGCAAGGGGTTTTAAAGAGTAAGGGTAATTAGACTATTAAAAAGAATTGATTTTTCTTCTGCATTTTCACTTTTAGAGTTCCTGGGAGATATATGGAATATGTGTCTCCTACATGTTAAAGGACCTGGTTGATTAGGAAAAAAAGAGTGGGAAGATACTTCGGAGAGCAGGTAGTAAGAGAATTACAGAGTACAGAGATAGTATCTAATCTATATAATTAATGAGTATACTAATGAAACTGAATCTAGGTCACCTTCCCATTTCTGTTGGAGGAGTATTTTCAAGTGCTTGAAAATATTTTTGTGTATAGAAAGGCTAAAATGACTAACTTTTATAGTTTATTAAAAGTATAGTCTACCTTTAATAGTTGTTTAGAAAATGACATGAGGATCTTAAAGAGAATAACTTAAAAGACAAAATCTCTTGTTTTTCCATCTGCGGCTAGATGAATGTTTTTTACGTGTTAGCCAGGGTGCTTTATGGTATTATGGTTACAACAGGCCAGTTTTGGCATCTGAATCAAATTATAAAGAAATAGTATTGAAAATACCATAATTGGATTGTATTGGAATAGAAAGATTAGATTCTTAAATAAGTTTTTGATAGTTACTAGCCAACATTCAATGAAGAAAGCAAAATGCATCTGCCGGTGGCTGGGTCTAGGGAATGCACGTATCTGAGGCTGTTACACATATGAGGTAGTAGCTTTGGTTGCAATGATGAAGGATTTAGACATATTTCAGGTACTTTAGCTGTTCATTTAAATTATAGTTCTTGAACTACTTGAAATCAAGGTAGATCTATGATTTCAGGTATTGCTCAGGTACATACTGAGTTGTTATGATGTAATTTACAGAGGACTGAAATATTTGGTAATTCTATTATGTCCACTAAGCAGAACTTTAAACAATTTTTGTTGATAGTTTTGAGTGGTAGTTCAAAGCACATGGAATAAAATTCGAAAGGGTGAACAATGTAAGGTTAGTCTTCTTTTATCACTTGTCTCCAGCTATCTACTTCCTTACGAGGCCTATCTCTATTGCTGGGTTTTTGTTTTTGTCTGCTGAGAGTCAAGTCTTGAATGAGACTCAGTTGTTTATAGGTATTTAAGATAAAAGTAGAATTTTACATCAGTTGGGACATGATGTAAAATTTAGTAAATGAATTTGTGAGAGCCAGCTAGCTGTTTAATAAAATCTGAGGAAAAAGTAATTCTTAATGGATAAGAACTGTAAATGTAAAAACTAAAAGTACCACGAAAGTATAAAAAGAGAACACATGTGAAGGCAATGTAATCTTGATAATGAAAAGGCCTGTCAATGCGTGCCGTAAAATCAGAAACCAAAAGGGCAAATTTCATAAGATTTGATTGCATAAGAATTTAAAACTCCTATGTCGTCAGAAACAATATAAACAAAATTTCAAGACAAATGACAAATTGGGGAAAAACATTCGTAAAACCAAAAGTTAATATTCTTAATATACAAAGCACTTGTTAAAAAACCATTAATTAAAAACATATCGCAAAACTCAGAATATCTGGTTTGCA